GAGCAGAACAGTGTCTAAAAGCTAACATAAGCAGAACAGTAGCTAAAAGCTAACATGAGCAGAACAGTGTCTAAAAGCTAACATAAGCAGAACAGTAGCTAAAAGCTAACATGAGCAGAACAGTGTCTAAAAGCTAATATGAGCAGAACATTGTCTAAAAGCTAACATGAGCAGAACAGTAGCTAAAAGCTAACATGAGCAGAACAGTAGCTAAAAGCTTACATGAGCAGAACTGTAGCTAAAATGCTCAGAACAGTAGCTAAAAGCTAACTTGAGCAGAACAGTGTCTAAAAGCTAACATGAGCAGAACAGTGTCTAAAAGCTAACATGAGCAGAACAGTAGCTAAAGGCTAACATGAGTAAGACAGTAGCTAAAAGCTAACATAAGCAGAACAGTAGCTGAAAGCTCACATAAGTAGAACAGTAGCTAAAAGCTAAAATGGGCAGAACAGTAGCTAAAAGCTAACATGAGCAGAACAGTAGCTAAAATGCACAGAACAGTAGCTAAAAGCTAACTTCAGCAGAACAGTGTCTAAAAACTAGCATGAGCAGGACAGTAGCTAAAAGCTAACATGAACAGAACAGTAGCTAAAAGCTAACTTGTGCAGAACTAGCAGAACAGGAGCTGAATAGACGATAATTAGACTAAATCTGAGCTGAAGCAGATTTCAGAGGATGTTTTGAAATAATTAGAGATCTCTTTGTGTTTCTGCAGGGAAATTTGTAAATAAAGTTTAAAATGTTCAGAATTAGTAAAGTAAAGAAGACGTTGCAGCACAGTTTCTGATTGATTTGAACATTTGAATTGATACATAAAGTCTGAATTATGAGAAGTATAAGCAGGAACAGTACAGGCAGAGCAGTAGTTTCTATCTGCTGTTAGTTTTATTGCTCAGTGTTGATATGAAGCTGTTAACACTGACCTCCCCTCTTTTACAGATCTGCTGTTTGAAAGGACAGAGGGGCTTGAGCAGCCAGCCCACATTTGATGGGATCCACATAGTCAATCACTACATGGGGGTGGAGTTTTACCAGTCGTCAGACGAGGACGGGGTGAAGGAGCCCTCTGACGTCCAGAAACCCCAGCAGAGGAGCGGCACACGCATCAAACTGCACCCAAAGCTCAAGGACAAAGACAGTGAGGACGAGGACGAAGACGAGGACGCCCTGCGGCTCTCCGTGCCTCGGAGCGACAGCCACAAGTCCACCTGGTGACCAGCTGAGGCTCGCTCTCGCTGAGGTTCTGGCAGCCGGGAGAGGCCTGGATCGGAGTTCTGAATTTCAAAACGCGTCTTCATTTCATGTCATGTGAATCGTGCTTTTTTGTTGTTGTTGTTTTGGTTTATAAAACTAAAACAAGAACCGTCTGGATCAGAGGCCAGAAAGGAGGAGGGAGAGCAGCGTGAGTGAGGGGGATGGGGGCGGGCTCTATCTGTCACTCCTAAGCCCCGCCCCCATAGATACAACACAGAGAAAGAGACTGTGCAATAAAACCTTTTATGCTATAATTATACACTTCATCCAACGTGTTTTTTATATTTTTAAAGGATTTTATAAAGTATCAAATATATTGATGCCGTTACTACCGTTACTTCTGTGATGTAGAGGTGTGTGTGTGTGTGTGTGTGTGTGTGTGTGTGTGTGTGTGTGTGTGTGTGTGTGTGTGTGTCGTCAGGATCATCCTGGTATCAAAGCTGCTTCTATTAGCCAGCGATGACCTGATGATATTTAGGCCTTAACACGTGCTTCATGTGTCACGTCTGCATACATGTAGATATTTAAATGTTTTTTTTTTCTTTTTGTTCCTTTTGAACTTGAAAATGAAATGTGTTGTTGCATATCTGACGTTTAAATATCTTGTAAAGTAAGGGACATCAGTTAAAGACGGCAGACCTCCTTGCATCACGAGTTAAAGGGATATTTTGTCACTTTAGGGGACATTCTTAGACAGAACATCGCCTTTAAAATAACCAGGTTGTCTCTTTAAGGGTCTTATTTTCCTGAGAGTCGTTTTAGCCTGAGGTACGTCTGCTGTGGAGTAAAACACGAGTCGTTTGATTTAAATCAAGTTTTCTGGAGTCTGCAGAGTGTTTTCAGAGCCGGCTCTTCTCCATGAGACGGGCTCGGCTGTGTAAAAACTGATTTGGGTGCCCACTATGAACACAAACCTTTTTTTTTTTTTTTTTAATGGACACGAATGTTCAGGAACCAGATGAGATTCTGACCTGAAGTCGTCGATAAAGACTTTGTTCCTTCGATGGACACGTGGCGTTTAACCGGAGAGGAAGAACTTTGGCACTTTGAGTCTGCAGTGCAGTAAAGACTGATGAACAACACTATGGAGCGCAGAGTTGTGTATGTGTGTGTGTGTTTGTGTGAGAGGAAGAGACAGACGTTAATAAAATGTTTGATACCTTTTTGGCTTGATGTCTTTTTTTATTTATTTGTTTATTTTTGGTAAGGAAATTCTCTCCTGAACCACTAAACAAATGTTAATGAAGGCTGCAGGAAGTGATGATTAGACAAACATCTGTAAGCCCAGTTTGAAAAAGTTGGATAAACACATTTTTTCAACTCTTGTGAACCAAAACGAGGTTCACAACAGGACGTTTTGGAGGGAAATCCCACTCCTGTCGGCTGTGTGATCCTAGCTGCCTGGATCTTGTTGCACTTTTTTTATTATTAATTTATTTTTCTTTTCTTTATTTTCATGAGATGTTTTCAGTTGGAGGTCAGGACCGTTCAGCACCTGGACTCCAGAGTCGGGCTGTTCTAAATGAGTTTGTGTAGTTTAGCATTGTCTCGCTGAAATGTTGCATCATTAAAAATATAGCACGTTTTAAAACAGCTCAACTAACTGCCCAGGGGGCAACAGTTTTTCAACAGTTCAGGGGTTTGGTGGGGGACATTGCCCCATAATGGTGGTGGTAACGCAGCATGATAGATGATTATCTTTTACCTTTTGAATCTGTTTATTTTGTTGCATTGAGTCATAAATTTAAATTTGCAATTGATTTAAAATCTATTTTTATGTCAATTTAAAAACATTTTTTTGTTTTGTTTGTTTTTTGGCAGGCCTGGTACAAGTCACCTTCAGGCCAGCTGTGGCCCACAGGCAGCCTGTTGAAAAAGCCCTGTTTTAAAACCTGTGTGTATTTTTTCTGCAGTGTTGGTGCCTTTCTAGATGTGTCAGCCATTTTTGCTGTCATTGCACCCCTATACCAACAGAGAAGCAGAGGTTTGAAGTGTGTGGTGACAGACTGGATGTTTCGAGGACATGCTGTTCCTGGTTTCCAACAAAAATTTTTGAGAAGGGGGTCTCTAGTCACTACCTGTCCCAGTACTCTCACTCCCACCCTCGGTCTGCCCTTGTGCACTTCAAATGCACATATTTCCGTCATTACGCAAAGTCTTTGGCGAAGTGTATTACCCACAATTCATTGCTGTGTGTGACCTTTTGAATCAAAAGGCAGAAATCTGGCAATGTCCACTGAGCACCTTCCAGTTTAGTGGTGTCAGTAATGCACTTAAATTAGTCTGCCACCCACCGGTAAAACCAAAAGAAGAGTTAGTTCTCATACTCTGATGTATAAGCCTCCTTCGCTTCATGTGCTTTCTTCTCCTAAAAACGATTGCTTTTTGTAGTTGTACTTTGTCATTTTTAGCAATACAAATGCCAAAACAGTGACTGGTCCCACCATGTTGGATGTCGCAGTTACGACGCTGAGGCGCAAGTCGATGATGTAATCCGTACTCTCTCTATTCTCTTTTTTTTTCCCCCACGCTTGTAACCTGCGCGCTCGAACACTTAGGTGCACTTCAGGGACTGGGCCTAAGTAGGAGTTTCTTATTTTGTGGGAGGAGTTTACCCAAGATGTGATTGGTCAGATTGATGGTGGGATTTGAGGAAGCTGCGGGCAGCCTGATCGAAATGACCAGGAAGTGCCTATATTTTAAAATACAAATATAAATTTTAGTCAAAACTTGAGATGGGAAGGTGCTTGCCGAATCAGATTTGAAGTCAAGAAATTATGTTTATATGTTAACAATAATTTTTGAGTTTTCAGAAACTAGACAGTCAATAAATCATATTTTACTATTGTCATTACTTCCTCTTTAAGGTTGCCCCACAAGACAACTCAATCCCACCAATCAGGGTTAGAGAAAACTCCGCCCACACACCTGCCAAACATTTAGGGCAAACTCCGCCTACAGAACAACATGTGGGGGGCGACCGGGGACAGTTGCAACACTTTTTGCATTTGAATCTGTTACTCAGAGATGGTTTGAATTAGACAAACCTAATTTTAATACAATAAACTTACATCTGTCTGTTAATAGTCAAAACCATTTATAGATGATTAAAGCATGTACTTTCTTCACACTTTGCGGCTGAAAATGGAAAGTCAGGTGTTACAACTGACCCCGGCACCGGGGGACAGTTGCAACATCGTTTGGGGGTGGTTGCAACATGTTATTAATACAATCTATTTCACTGTAAATAAAAGTTTTATTATTTTTATAATTACATAATTGCTTAATTTATAAAAACTGTAAGTTATAATGATTTGACTGTTATTTGTTTATTCTTTCTGATCAAATGATGAATATAGATTAGCCTTGATGACCTTATATACAGACGTCAAAGACTCTAATTCATATAAAATACAGTTGGCTTTTAGAGACAATTAATAGAATAATTTGGGAGGCAATTAATGTGCGCCTGCATTATGCAAAATTTACATTGAAAGAAACTGAGATTTTAAAACCATTGTTGAAAACAACAACAGCAGAAAATACATCTTAAACACTTTTATGTTTTAAACTGTAAAATTGTCATGAACACCCAATACCCTTTTAAGTGTAAACTTAATTTCAACATGTTAATATCATCTGTATGTGCTCTGTTTTTATGTGGATTTATCGTATGGGGACAGTTGTAGCAGTTGTTGCAACTGTCCCCCTTCCTGTCAGCCATGATAAAACCTCATGTGTTAGCTAAATAAGCTCATCTGGATACATGTTAACTGTATTAGTTAAAAGTCATGATATCACTTGTTTAAACCATATAAGTTTGAGCTGGATCACAAAAACAGTGAAAACAGTAAAACAAAAATAAATCTGGGCAAAAAAATTACTTTGGTTCCTGAAAAACAGTTTTTTTTTTTTTTTTCAAATAAATCCTGGAGCAGTTTTTGAATCTGTTTACTTTTTCTTTGCACGGTGGCACATTAACTGAGCATGTAAAGTGTGAGTGTCATCAGTAGCTTGTTTCTGTTTGGAGAAAAATGACATGTTGCAACCGTCCCTTTGTTGCTTTTGTCCCCTGTCTCCCCTACTGCAGAGACCCCTGCTTGGCATTTTTTAATTTTATCTGATGACAACAGTTCTCCATTTTAAATGAACACGAACATTTCAGGCCGGTGCTCGCACTGCTTCTTTTGATTGCACGATAGAGCTTTAATTTAGCATTTCAGAAATCTGTAGTGGAAGTGTTGCTGGGTTATTCCCAGAGCACAGTCAGACCTGGTTTCTATCCAGTTAACCTGAGGGCCTCCGCTCAGATTCTACACACACTTTATTATTTTGAGCTGACCAGTGTTCCCCTGCATCTAATAAACCAACCCATTCGCACTCCCATCTAATAAACTGGATTTCTGAAACTGTTCCACTTTTTGAAGTCAGTTTTTCTGCGACCCCCCCCCCCCCGACCATCTTACTTCTTCACTCAGATCTGTTCCTGACCAGCTGCTGATTCATTTATGTTTTATTGTGTGAATGCCATCCAGGCATTCACACAATTGAGATCATTTTTTCTTCCGTAAGTTTTTCGGCACTTTTCTTTTTCCACAATTTTTGTGCCACTTCAACCATTCACACATCAAAACGTTCAGCTCTTTCGTGCAGTGCCTGCTATGACTTTTGGTATTTCAGCTATTTATAGCTTTTTAGCTATTTCAACTTTTTTAGCCACCTTTTTCCCCATTGACTTTGAATGGGGCTATTTTCAACAACCTTCAAATCCTTCAAATAGTTTCTAAATCTTTACAAAACCTCACACAATTCATTCTGGTTGTGCTCTTTTTTTCTCCCTTGTGCAATTTTTAGCAACTTTTTTTCTAACTTTAGCTGTTTTCTGCTATTTCAGCTACAGTTCTGCTTCTTCTGCTTTATTTATGCTTTTTTCTGCTAATTTGAACTGTTTATGCTTCTTGCAGTTGCTTTCTACTTTATTCAGTTAGTTTCTACAAAATGAGCTACATTTTAGCTGTTAATAGCTAAAATTAGCTTTTTAGGCTATATACACATTTTGTTTGTAGCAATTACAACTTAATTCTGCTAAATTCAGCAAGGTTGAACTCCTCATGCATTCTTATGCTAAATAAAATATTTCCAGCTTCTGGCATCTACTTTTAGTTAGCTTTTACGCTAACTTTAGCTGTTTTCTGCTGTTTTATCTGCAGTTCTATTTTCTACTATTCCTATGCTATTTTTTTTTTTTTTTTGCTTTTTGGTGTTTTTTCCCGGTACTTGTTTCTTACAGGTGCTTTCTGCTTAATTAAGCTATTTTAGCATTTAGCTTTTTTATGCTATTTCAGCTATATTTTTACTCCTTTTTTACTGTTTTTCCCTTCTGCTTCTTTCAGTTTTTAAAGTTTGACTTTGAATCATACTTTTGCTGTTAAACATTCTCAATTTCAGCAGCTTTCAGCAACAGGCATTCACACTAGCATTTTCGCAGGAAATGCAATTTTTCTAGTTATTATTATTATTATTTATTCATTTTTTTTTACTATTGGTGCAATAGCTTAATTACTGTTCCATTGTGGAAAAAATGTGTTCATGAAATTTACAAATCATTGCTTTATTTATTTATTTATTTGTTTGTTTTAGACACTACAGCAGATTTTACCTTTGAGAATGTCTTCCCTCCAAAACCACAGAAATGTGTGTGTGTGTGTGTGTGTGTGTGTGTGTG